GCAGGTTGCCCCTCCAGCTCCTGAGCTGCCCCCTCCCTCGGGGCGGAGCGTCCAGGGCCTCTGTTCCCCTTCTAGGCAGCGGTTTCTCAGAAGTGTTGAATAATAAACCTGTACCTGCTGCCATCGTTTGTCCTCTCAGTGTCCCACCCCCGCAGTGACTCGTGAGGCAGATTTCCTAGAAACAGCTCTGTCCCCAGAGAAAGCTGCCTTTGAGATACAGATTACACCAGGCACCCAGAAGTCCAGTTCTCACCTGGAAGAATTTGGGGAACAAGGAAGCAGATTTCCTAGTGGCAGAAGGAACGTCCCTCCACCCTCTGTGGCTGCAGCCCCTCTAAACTGTGAGAAGGGACAGGGGTTGCAGCTTTCCCATTTGCCCAAAAGACCAGCACAGGGCCTGGCCTTGGGGTAGTTCAGGAGTAGTGCAGTGGACAGGTTATTTAAAGGAACAGAAAGGGAGCGGGGAGGGAACTTATCTGCAATGTCTAATGTCACTCCATGACCTCAACAAGAAGTTGGCCAAACACTGGGAGCTTCTTTTTGATTCAGGGTCTCAAAAGTACTTGGCTCATTCAACTGTCCTAGGGAGGAAACCTGGCAGAGAGAGAGAGAGAGAAAGGAATTAGTATTTGATAATTATTCATGTTAGGTTTTCCATTTATTCTCTCTCTCTCTCTCTCTCTCTCTTTTTTTTTTTGGTACTAGGAATTGAACTCAGGGGCACTGGAGCACTGAGTCACATCCCAGTCCTATTTTGTATTTTATTTAGAGACAGGGTCTCACTAAATTGCTTAGTGAAATCCCGTTTCCTGGATGCTTTTGCTGAGGCTGGCCTTAAACTTGTTGATCCTCCTATCTCAGCCTCCTGAGCTGCTGAGATTACAGGTGTGTGCCACCGCACCTAGCCTTATTCTCTCTTTTAACCCTTGTGACAACCCCAAGAAATTGAAGGCCTTCCTGCATTTGAAGGGAAAGAAGATTCAGAAGAGAAAGGGCTTGCTGCAGATCTCTAGCTAGTAATTGATCGGCCTTGGATTCAGAATCCAGGCGTCTTTTTAAATTGCTGAGGCTGGCCTCGAACTTGTGATCTTCCTGCCTTTATTCTCCTGATTAGCTGGGATTAGGAGCATGTGCCACCACAGTGTCCTGCTTGAAAGAGGCCTCTTTCTAAGGAGAATGTGTCTGATATTCCACGCACCAAGGGAGAAAGAAGTATGGAGGGTGAAGTACAAAGGGTTATGAAAACCACCATGGTAGGCAGACTCAGAGATCTACCACCCTTACCAGAAAGAGAGAAAAAATTCCAGTTGCAGGTCTTAGTGGTGGCATAGGGCAAGGTGGAGATGGTCAGCACCCGCTGACTTAGGTCCTGAAGGGACAAAAAGAGGGTCTCCACCTGCCCGGATCAGTGGACCCTCCAGCTCTGCTTCTTTGGCTCCACCTCTAAACTCTTTCCCATGCCAATAGCACAGTCCTTAATGGAGGCACCCAGATGGCAAGGGAGGGTCCAGGAAATAGCTGAAGATGCTGAGCAGGCCTCTCTCTTCCCCCACCCATGGCCCCACAGATCATCCGGTGCTGCGGGCCCATCTCATTGGCTCACTCCTCCTTACTCATCTCTCCATCCTCGTAGGCTGTGGTTGCTGTGGAAACACAGAAGAGTGACATCAGCATAGGGAGCCGGCTGGAGGGATACTGCTCTTGGCAAGCACTGGTTCTGCTGCCTGCCAGATGTTATAGCCACATCTGGATCTGCCAATAGCAAGAACAGGAAAAGGACAGGACTCACACATACCCCTCCCAAGACTGCTGTGAGCATAGTAGGGCAAGGAGGATGCAGGTACTCAGAGTGGGGAGGAGAGCGCTGTACATACTTCAAAGGGAGGATGAAAAATTTCTGGCATGGTGATTGTTCCTATAATCCTAGTAACTCGGGAGGCTGAGCAGGGTTTCAAAGTTCAAGCCAGCCAGGGCCATTTAGCCAGACTCCGTAGAGGGCTGGGGATGTGACTCGGCGGTAGTACACCCCTAGACTCAATTTCCTATAATGAACATCACACACACAGAGTCAGAAAGAAAGAGGGAGGATGAAAATCAGCAAAAGGAGGATGGGGTGTGATTTAGGAGTCAAACTTGGTGACATGGGTGAGAGCAGGGGTAGCTCATGTGGGGTTTGTCAGAGTGCCTCAAAACCCAAGCTAGACCTCTTCTGTCCGTCTTCGCAGCTGTAGCAGTTTCTAGTCTTGTCTCAGGATAAAGAAGTAAGGAGTGGGGCTGCGTGGCTCAGTGGTGGAGTGCTTGCTTAGCATGTGTGAGGCACTGGGTTCAATTTTCAGAACCACATACAAATAAATAAAGGTCCATTGACAACTAAATATTAAAAAGAAGTAGTAGTAGAAGAAGAAAGGAGAAGCAAAGAAACCTGCCTTGGGTGACCGAGCAGGGGAGGGGCAGGGTTCAGACTCTTAGGTATCCTGTATCATTCACCAAGAGAATAAAAACCATGTATCAGCCAGACACCATGGCTGTAATCCCAGCTGCTTGAGAGGTTGAGGCAGAAGGATCCGGAGTTCAAAGCTGGCCTCAGCAAAAGCAAGGCGCTAAGCAACTCAGTGAGACCCTGTCTCTAAATAAAATACAAAATAGAGCTGGGGATGTGGCTCAGTGGTCAAGTGCCCCTGAGTTCAATCCCCGGAACCCCGCCCCCCCAAAACAAAACAAAACAAAACAAAACAAAAAACCCATGCATCAGGAGTGAATATTTATTTAGTGAATCATGCTTATCATTTTAAATGTGTTCTTCTTCCCCAAATACCTCTATTTCAAAGATGAAACAGAACCTCAGAGTGACTTAAGTGAATTGCTGAAAGGCCATAGACAAAATCCAGTGGAGTCAGGATGAGGACACATCTTTCTGTCGGCAGTTGCCAACCCAGCTGCAGCCCTCCCCCACTGCAATGTGCAGATCACTTAGGGAAATGGCTTGGGGACCTGGGTGTCTGTCCACTCAGTGCTTGAGAAAGGAGGCCCATGGGTGGGGGTGTAGCTCAGTGGTTAAATAACTTTCCTAGTGTGTGCAAGGCCCTGGGTTCAATCCCCAGCTTGCAATAAATAAACATAAATAAAATGGCCACTAACCCTACCCACACTTAAAAAATAAATAAGAGGCCCTATGTCTAAAGGCTGTATGACCTTGAAGTGAGGTCACCAGGGCTCCATGCCGAGCCCTGAGGCCTGTTCCTATAGCTTTGGCATAAATGGGCCTCTCAGTCTTCTGGCAAGTCCAAAGGAATCAAGGCCTTGGTGGGTGAGGGAGAGGCCTCTTCCTCCTGGGCCTTCTTCCCAGAACAGCCAGGGGAAGGGAAGAAGAGATTTCCACTTGGAGAAACAGGCCCAGGGAGGAAGATCTGCCCCATTATAGGTGTGTGGCAGAGCTGGCCAGACCCCAGGGCTCCTGCTTGTCTACCCTGTGTACCCTGTGTGCCCTTCTGCAGTTCATTCCCTCCTGTGCAGGGCCTTTCTACTGGGAATTCACTCACACCTCTCTTGGGGGCAGGGCGTGGTGGGGTGGGGGGCAGGGTTGGGGAGGGAGCCTTCCCTGAGGCTCCAGGTCAGGATCAGGACAGGCCTCCTATCAATTCACCACACCTAGTTGAGTGACTGTTCCCCAAGACTAATTACTTGAGCATGGGTCCTGGTTCCTGTTGGTTGTCTCTCTCCACAGCAGTTCCCAGCACAAAGCAAGTGTGTGTTTGTTTTATATTTGTATTTGTAGATGGACACAATACCTTTTTTTTTTTTTTTTTTAGTTTTTTATGTGGTGCTGGGGATCAAACCAATGCCTCACATGTGCTAGGCAAGGGCTCTACCACTGAGCCACAACCCCAGTCCAAAGCAAGTGTTTTAATAACTGCTGAATTAATGAATGGGTTCCTCTGAGATTCCATTGTTCATCTGCAAAAAGGGAATAACGTCTACTTCAAGGACTTTGTTTACAAAGTTCAACGTGACAATGTACTTAAAGAATGCAACAAACATCAATATAAGGAGGGTCTTTTCCATATAAAAAGTGCTTTGTAAACTGTAAAGTGCCGAAACAACCGCACAGTGGGCTCTTTAAGGGAGGTGCCCAGGAGAGTGTTGGCAGGCTGGTGCCAGGTCAGGGAGGGCTGCGGGTTTCAGGCAGGTGGGGGAGGTGTCTTTGGGCCGCGAAGAACTTCTCAATGGACAGAATTTCTGAAGGTGGGTGAAAGGAATGACCTGAGCGCAAGCTCAGAGGTCACCGGAGGGTGGGGAGGAGTTGGGTCGCCGGAGGAAAGACGCCGGCGAGCGACATTCCGTAGGGAGGGGCAAGCACGTGTCGGGTGGGCGCCCGGAAGGGTCACGCTTTCTCCGGGAGCAGGTGAGGACGCAGGGACAGCTCAATCACCGACGGTGCCCACGGTGACTCTCCGAGCCCCGCCCCTGGGCAGTGGGAGGCGGGTGCCAGGCTTGCCATCTGGGCTTCAGTTCTCTCCCCATTACAATGACCTTGTCCGTTGCCCCTCTGAGCTTCTGGCTCCTCACCTATAAAATAAAGACCAAGATGCCGGGGCCACCGGAGTCAACCAGCTTTCCCCAGCGGGGTCACCGGGCAAGGGCGAGTTTCCTTTGTCCTCTAGTCTCATCTCGGCCGCAGGGACAGGGGGACGGACGCGTCGATGGCGTGCGCTGTGGCTCTCGGGCCGGCGGGGCCCCAGCGCTTCCATCTCAGATTCCGAAGAGCGCCCTGAAGCCAGGGAAAGGAGCAGGTGTTGCCAGCGTGGGGATGGGACTCCGCGGCCGGGGCGGGGCTGACGCAGGCGAGCCGGGACCAACGGCCGGTCCCCTCCCGCCTGGCCGGTGGGGGAGGGGCGCCCAGCCCCCAGGCGAGCAAGCGCTGGCCCTGGGCTTCCTATTTCGGGAGCCGGGGGGCGTGGGCCACGGCTCATCATGTGATGCCAGGGCTATTTAAAGCGGCAGCTAGGTCGGCGAGCCGCAGTCCCGGAGTCTACAAGCCTTCCATCTCTGGCAGCTTGCTTCTCAGCCTAGCCCAGCTTCACCATGGTGGACGCCTTCGTGGGCACCTGGAAACTAGTGGACAGCAAGAATTTCGATGACTACATGAAGTCACTTGGTGAGCGAGCAGCCAGGCTCTGGATGCCGGCTGGGAAGGGGCTTGCCGCGCACCTAGCTCGGCACCGCGCTCTGTTGCTCTGGTTTCTTGTACGCCGGACGCATCCATTCCTCCTGGACAAGGTTGGATAGCGGGGCTCAGAGGTGGCAGCCTGGGCCAGGGCGTAGGGAGGCCTGTTGAGTTGGGGCTTTCATGGTCCGAACCTGCCAGGGGTCTACCCGGATAAGGAGGGGCAGGGAGGAGGCCGCTGTGTCCTTCGATGATGTCAGGCAGGGAGTCGCTTTCGAGGAAGAGGGGTATATGACCTGGAGTTGGGGGCAGGGTTTGGGTAAGAGCACTGATCAAAGGCCCAGGGTGAGCCTGGGGAGAAAGAACGGGAATGGGTGGCACAGAAACCGGAGGAGTCTGAATCTGGAAAGGGAATGGGACAGATAGTGTACTGTGGCCTAAAGAAGTAGGAAAGACCGAGGAAGAGATTGAATGAGAAAAATCAGTGAATAGGATATATGTAAGAGGTGAGACAGAGACCCTGGCACAGTGAGCCACAATCCCCAAGCCTGCCCTGATGTATTAGGGAAAAGGACTGTCCCAGGAGGTACTTTCTCACCAATCTGGCATTGGCTTGCAGTGATATGTAACCAAGTCTTAATCACCATCAGTGAGCCTGATGGTAGGGTGGGACAAGAGGCCTGTCTCTGCTACCTGTTCAGTTCAAGGGACAGTGTGAGAAAGTCTTTGGACTTCTGGGATGCAGCAGAGAGTTCTACCTGTTGAAGGGAGAGTCATTGGTCTAGGAGGGTATGGAGAACTGTGTGATTACAGAATGGGGAAGAATAGTTTCAAAGAATCCTACAGGTAAGGACCCTGGGAAAACTGAGGCCAAGATCAAGTAGAAATTTGTCCTATAAATTCCACAACTGAGTTGGTAAGAAAACCCAGGACTTACAGCTCTATAACCCACAGTTCTTCCCACTACCCTATAGACACTGGGAGTGAGAGGAACTGCTTATCCAAAGACTGACCTCAGCCCTTCCTTTGCTAGTTTGCTTAGATGGAGGTGATAACCTTTCTGTGAAATTCTGGGCTCTGATCTAGCCCACCAGGCTGGGACAGGGAAGCCTGGGATGATGTTCATGGTTGAGCTAGGTTCCATGCCTTGCTTCCAAGGAAGAAGGGATGCTTGCAGCAGATAGGCAATGGTTGTATGTGGGGGTCCCTCTCAATCTTTGCTCCTAGTCCTCCCTTGGAGCAGGTACTAAAAGTGTGGCTCTTGAGGTCAGAGCTCTCAGTTGCACCTACTCTGTCCTGGGGACATGCCTAGTGACTCCAGGAAAGCAACTGTTGTTCAGAAGAGAAACACAAGGCCTCACACAGCTGTTGGGGAATCTGGATTGCCCAGGTTTAGTTCCTCTTCCCAAAGCAGACATTTGGGCCAAAGGCCTGGGTCCTTGAAACTGGGCTGCAACAAGCATATCACTCGTTTCCTTCAACTCGACCAGAAGCCAGGTCTCCCTAAGGACCTGTCATCTTTGGGCAGGTTTTGTTTTTGGGTGCTAGAGATCAACTCTGGACCTGAAACATACTAAGCACGTGCTCTAGCACTGAGCTATGCTCTTAACTCATGACAGCTTCTCATGTTAGAGGGCTGAGATTCTATTTATCCTGCTTTTCTCAGATGAAAGCCTGAGGCCCACTGAAGAAGGGAAAGATATTAAAAAAAAAAAAAAGAGTTGGAGTCTTGCACAGTTGGTCTCAAATTCCTAAACTGAAGTGATCCTCGCACTTCAGAGTTTGAGTCTGGGGCTAGTGTTGTAGCTCAGTGGAAGTGTGCTTGCCTAGCATGTGTGAGGCACTGGGTTCGATCCTCTGCACCACATATAAATAAAATAAAGGTACACTGACAAGACAAGAAATCTAAAAAAAAAAAGTATTGTCCATCTACAACTGGAAACATTTTAAAGAAAGAAAGAAAACAAAACAACACCTCAGCTCTCAGGAGCTAGTTTTGGCTTCATTTCCTTTTCTTTTTTTGTGGTACTGGGGACTGAACCCAGGGGTGCTCTATCACTGAACTATGCCCTCAGCCATTTTTCTTTTTTTTTTTTAAAGGTGGACACATCTTTATTTTATTTTTATGTGGTGCTGAGGATCGAACCTAGTGCCTCACACATGCCAGGCGAGTGTGCTACCACTTGAGCCACATCCCCAACCCATTTTTCTATTTTTTGAGACGGAGTCTAAGTTCCTGAGGCTGGCCTTGAACTTGCTAATCCTCCTCTCTTCCAAGTCAGTGGGATTACAGGCATGAGTCATCTTAGTTTCTTGTGTCTCAGTCCCACACTCTATGTCCCTGGATAGGTCCTGAGCAAACAGCTTCTGGTTGCAGTGACAAGGCCCACTTCTGCACTAGGGAGTATAACTGGCCTGACTCACTCTGATACCAGGAGGTAAGGCCAAGTCCTTCAGTGGCCAGGTAGGGTGGGCTGGCATCAGTAGAACTGCAGAGTCAGTCCCTGCCCCTTGTGCCCTAGACCAAGGGTTCTCAGGAGGCAAAAAGGCCCAGCTTAGTCCCACTGACCACAGGCACAACTGGTAGCCTTGGTGCATATGTTTGTGCTGGCAGAATGGCATAGTGGGAACAGTGAACAGTCTGGGAGTCTAGAGCAGTCACTTGCTCTTTGTTTGACTTTGGAGAAGACACCACACAGAGCCTCATTTGTAGACTGGGAACAATAAAACCTACCCTTAGGGCTGTTCCAAGCATTAAGTAAAACAACCTGTGTAGAACATGTACAAGGCACACTGCTTCCAGCAAGCACTATGTACTCAGGTACATTAGAAAACCAGACACCACTTCACTACCCTGGGTTGCCTCCGGCCTCACCTCTGCCTTGGGGGACAGCTCAGCACAGGCTGCTGGGAGCAGCTGGGCACAGCAGTCATGATCAAAGTTCAGTAGCAGAAGGACAGATTACAGGAAAGCTACAACCTGAAGGGATGAAGGCTTAGCCTAAAAGTTCTGTGTTCTTTTGCTTGTAGGACACTCAGGACTTTGTCCAGCACCCAGGGAAGCCATGCATAGGCCAGGAGAGTCCCCATAGGACCTCAGGCTAGGAGTCAGGAGATGAGTTTTTCTTAACTCATTGTGGTTACCACTTTAGGCTTCTCCCAAGTCTCCTAGATTTGTACCTGATTCCTAAATCGGTTGTGTGGCCACATTTGGGGGATAAGAGTACTAATGCTTCTCAGGTTTCAGGGTAAAAATTTCCAAAGATGGAAAATTCTTGTTCCCAGGGCTTTGGAAGCCGAAGTCCACTTCACCTGAGCTTGAGCTACTCAGGTGTCCTGGAGGGTCGCCTGGTGCTGTGTCTTGGGAGGTGGCATGGAGGAGCAGATAAGTAAGCTCTGTAGTGAAACATTTAAGGCTTCAACTTCAGGTTTGTGACCCTGAGCTTAAACTCCATCTGTGTTTACATCTTTAGAGATACAGTGTAACTGTTATCAACCCTGCAAGGGGGCAGGAAGGACTGAATGAGGTACAGCAGTACTTACCACATGGTGTACTTGATACCTTATTATTTTTGGTACTGGGGATTGAACCTGGGGTATTCTAGTACTGAGCTACATCCTCAGCCCTAAGACAGGGTCTTGCTAAGTTGTTGAAGGTTTCACTAAATTACCTAGTCTGGTTTCGAACTTGTGATTGTCCTGCCTCAGCCTTCCAAGTAGTTAGGATTACAAGTGTGTCACCGGGCCTGGCTACCTGATACCTTATTCCAAACTCAGTTCTGTCACTGTCTTACTATGGCATGCCTGTTCCTTATATTGGGGTTAAATTTGTTTGCTTCACGGCTAAGAGGAAGACTGAATTTTTAAAAATAATAATGGGGGCTGGGGATGTGGCTCAAGCAGTAGCGCGCTCGCCTGTCATGCATGCGGCCTGGGTTCGATCCTCAGCACCACATACAAACAAAGATGTTGTGTCTGCCGAAAACTAAAAAATAAATATTAAAAAATTTAAAAAAATAAAAATTAAAAAAATAATAATAATGGCAGACAGATACAGCAGCAACACCTGTAATCCCAGTGAGCTGCGAGGCTGAGGCAGGAGGATCCCAAGTTTGAGACCAGCTTTAGCAATTTAGTGAGGACCTGTCCCCAAATAAAAAATAAAAAGGCTGAAGATATGGCTCAGTAGTCAAGTGCCTCTGGCATAGAAGGCCACACAAAGACTTAGGTTGATCCTGGTCTAAGAATCATTCTTTGAGCTTGTGCAGTGCCTCTCAGTGGCAGCTCATATTCTCATAATCTTCCCCTGGCCCTCAGGTGTGGGCTTTGCTACCAGGCAAGTGGCCAGCATGACCAAGCCCACTACAATCATCGAAAAGAATGGGGACACCATCATCTTAAAAACACAGAGCACCTTCAAGAACACGGAGATCAGTTTTCAGCTGGGGAAGGAGTTTGATGAGACTACAGCAGATGACAGGAAGGTCAAGGTGAGTCAGGGAAGGGGGCATGGGGAACAAGGGTACTGAGACCCTTGTCATTGCACCCCGAGGGGCAGGCTCTTATAGGCAACTTGCGTGACACAAGGTTTCATAAAGCCTGTTCAGTGCTGGATGGTCCTAGGTGCTAAATACATATTAGTTCTGTCCACTTGTTTTCTTTCCTCCCTTCTTGGGACTCAACTACCAGCTGCCTCTGGGAGTGGGCGGCACAGAGCCAGAATGTTCTGACCTCAGTGCTCCTTCAGTTCCAGCTGGGTGACCTTGTGCAAGGTATGCCATAGCACTGGGTTTCTTTCCCCTTCCATAGATGGAGGAATTAAGTGGCCGTGGCTGTGATCTGAAGTGCTCTGGGATTGATACACAGGATAAACCAGGGCCCTCCACTAGTAAGGTTGTCCAGGCCTCCACAGCTAAGCAGGCAGCTGGGAACGAGACTGAGACCTATCCAGATGTTCCATCTTCTGCAACCTGTAACTCCCAGGCCTGGCCAGTGACCCTGAAAGTATTTCCAGTGTGGCCACCTGACAGGCAGTTAGAATGGTGTTCTGAGGTGGCCACTCAGCTGTCATGGGTGTTGTAGTGTCTTCCCACAGTCTTAACTCCCTCTTCCACGGGGTGGGTAGCAAGCATCTACCCCCCAGTCTCAGGTCTCTGTTACCCCATGATGGTTTTGTCTTAGCAGCTTGCCTCAGGATTCCTAGCTCTGGACCAGGCATGGGAGAGAAATAAGGGGCTCTGACTTCTAGGGCTCTACAGCAGTGTCCTCTTCACCAGTACCCTAAAACACAGCTTTTCAGCTGTTTTCTCTTTCTCACAGTTGCCTACAGGAAGAACAGGGTAGGGGCTGTTTTCCTTGCAAAGGGAGAGGAGTTAAAGCCCAGTGCAGGATTGCACAGCAGGCTGGCAGCGGAGCAGGGGATGTTGCCCTAAGAAAGAAGCTGACCTTGGAAGGTCATGGCCCCACCACATACCACATATCCCTACCTCCTTAAGCTTGCCATATTCTTGAGGGGCAAAAACCCCATTGAAACACAGGGATGTGAATGTGAGGGTCAAAAATAATGTGCTCTGAGTGGGCAAAAAACTCAGGAGGGATGAAAATGAGGAGTGGGCTATAGACAGCACAGCAAGATAGAAGCAACCCAAACACATAAATATGACCTTCTCATCTGCTGCTGAATCTTGCTCAGCAAGGTTTCCAAGTCTGGACTATAGCCCCCAAATTCCTAGAGAAGAGAGACCTGGGAAAGTTGCCAAATGAGAACCAGCTGATGCAGGCTGGCAGCACCCAGAGGACTAAGTGGGCCTTTGAGCCAGGGCTGAGGAACACTCCAAGGACAACCAGTCCTAGGACCTTGTAGTTGCTGCCCTCTTGTCAGCTGAAAGGGATCACATGATGTGGACTGAGAAGAGAAGAGGGAAGCCTAATACTCCCCATCTAAGGGTATTTTAGGCACTGTGATGACCACGACGAGAAAGAGGTCCTCAGAACTCCTCCTCCTCAGCCAGTCTTTGTCAGGAATATGGACAGGTACATGTCTTCTGTATCTTGGAGGAAGCAAGGCTGTGGACATCACATAGCAAACAGGATAAGTGCTTTTCTTTCTCTTTCCCTTTCTTATCCTGTTCTTCAGTCCTGGCTCAGATCACTGCTCAGGCCTCTACCCTTTTTCCACAGTCCACTGTGACGCTGGATGGAGGAAAACTTGTCCACGTGCAGAAGTGGGACGGGCAAGAGACTACACTTGTGCGGGAGCTAAATGATGGGAAACTCATCTTGGTAAGATGGGCAAGTGTGGAGCCTTAGCTAACTGATTACTAACCTTAAAAAGCCAAGGTCATCCCCAGGAGCCATCAAAGCTGGGATAGGAGAGGCAGAAGAAAGGTCACAGCTTTGGACTCAAAAGGTCTGGGTTTAAATCTCAGTTTATAAGCTACATGACTTGGACAAGTCACCTTCTCCAAGTGCAACGATAAAGTGGGTATTAATAACACCTACCTTTTAGTGTTTCTGGGAAGTCTGAAAGAGACTGGGTACGCACAGCAGAAACCCTCATTGGGGAGGGAGGAAGATAGCAGATGCTCCATAGCCCAAGAGGAGATGGGAAGCAGGGCCAATTTGATTCTAGGCTCTCCAGGATAGACTCCCATTTCCTATCAAAGCATTTCCTTCCCTCTCCTCTCTAGTGTTATGCTGTCACATGCAGGGGCAGCCTGGTGACTGGTGGGGGCACTGATGGACAGCACAACCCTTTCTTCCCCATTCCAGTAAGACCTCCTCTTAGAGTTAGTTCTAGGTCTGGCCTCCTGCAAGTACCTGATTATTGCCTGGGTAGAAAGTAGCAAAAATGGCTGGCAGATCTGTTTAGACAAGCTTGGGGGCTTCACTTGGAGAATGTACCCTTGAGGGAACTCTTCCCCCAGATTCCGGGCACAGATAGCAGCCACTGGGATCTCTACCTTCTAACTCTGCAGGGCCTCAGGTTCTTACCTCAGCATCTTCACTGCAGACCTTCCTGGGGAGCATAACTTGCTACCTTCGTTCTTGCACTCAACATGGGGTCATTCTTGAATTCAGAGTTAGGAATGAAGTTCCTAGCTTTGGGAATAGCACATACAGGACCAAATACTCACTGGCTGTTCAGACTATTGTGAGGCCATGGGCTTGCCTCTATGACACCAGACTGGTGGGGATCTGGCCCTGGCCCTGCCCCAACTTAGGGAACTTAGGGGAAGAATGGAGAGTTGGTAGCTTAGCACAGCCATTCCTCAAGTATCTCTGGTCATTTTTATTCACCTATTTATCTACTATGTGCCAGGCACCATCTTACCCATAAGGATGAAGGAAGCTGAATGATGTAAGAAAAAGAGAAACAAATTGTATCTTCTTTTAAGAAGATAGAGGTCTTCTCCTGTCTGACTCTCATCTTTCTTTCCAGACACTCACCCATGGCAGTGTAGTGTGCACTCGCACTTACGAGAAAGAGGCATGACTCACCAGCACTGTCACTGACTGTTCCTCTGTCAACTGGCCACCCCTGGACTCAACACCACATTGCCTCATTTTTTTCCTCTGGCATTTTGTATAAACCTACTTTGGAGAATTCTTCTGGGATCAGGTGACACCAGCCTGGATCCCCAGTTTCCATTGTGTATGTATGTGTTTCTTTTTTTTAAACTGTATCCAATATGCTCTGAAGTCAATAAAGCAGAGCAGAGGCCATGCAGTTGCCTCTGGTGATGTGGTTCTGGGAGTCTTAAGTTTCCCCAGGTGTCAATGGGCAGAAATAACTGCTTTAAGGTCACTTGAAACACTGGGTGAGAAGCTAAAATGGACAATGTCAGGGACATTCAATGATGATAGCTGCACCTACATCTTGCCTTGACATTGCTCCTCCCTGGGTCAAATCACCTATTCCAGTCATTGGAGCGTTGACCACTGAACTGTCACCCCTGGCCCATACTGCACTGAGTACTTTCTTTTGCCTGGCTTTTTGTGGGATGCTGTGGTTTCTCCCTTCCCAGAGTACAAGATCACAGGATCCAGGCTTGGGCTACTGTGGGAGAAGATGACCAATGGCCAAGATGACTGCCTAAGTTCTCATTATGCACCAGGCTAGTACTCAAGGTTATAAATTCTTACTGGTTCTCTAATCAACTCTGGGAAAATAGATCATCTGATCATTACAGAAGGGTTTATAAGTGATCATCTAAGAAAGCTGTGGCCTGCTAGTACCTCTAGCTTTGTACCAGCCCTTGGCTAGGCTTCTCTCCAAGGTCTAAGGGAACATATTAAATGTTTTTCTATCAACTAATGCAGATTCAGTTGACTTTAAATCTGTTATGTTAACCAAGAAGAAGGATTATAAGAATAAGAACTTTGAGCAGGTTTCAAACCAAACACATTTCCATTTAGTGCCAGGAATTTAAGCAGAGACCTGAAGTGGAACTAGCCAAATCATACAGTAATAAATAGAAAGTAGAGCAATCACCTTGGCTTCATATGTCTGGTTCAGTGGTCTGCTGGAATGTCATATACAAGATAAGTCAAACTGCAAATGACTGTTTTATGGCTGTGGTCACTGGCTGTCACTTCTAGCCTAGTAGAACCATACTAGGGAATGGAAAAAGTGAGCACCACTTCTTACCACGTTCTCCCTCTTGCTGCCAGTTTCCCTCTGCTTCCCCGTAGGCAGCATAAACTAACCCATCGCCCAGTTCAAGACAGACAACGGGAAGGCACCAGTCACTGTTCAGATACAGCCAGGCTCTCACCTCCACAGCAGTACTTGTGGCTTTAGCCTTGACTCCTATAAAGGAATCCAGCTCTGGCAGTGGTAGCTGAGGAGGATAAACAGACCTCCTGCTGAATGAAAAAGAAATAGGGTGAATGAATGGGTGGGCCTCAGGGGTCAACTGCTAAGGGATCAGAAGCAGTAAGGAAAGAACTCATTCAGGCGGCTGCTTCTGACCTGTAACTCCCAAACCTGCTTGCTGCATTCCCATAGATGTCAACGGGGTGGGAGGCAATATTCTCACTATTGAGTCTTTTCAGGAGCCAGAGTTCAAGGCACAAAACTCCTGGTTCCTTATTCTCTCAACCACCCCGTCCTCTTTTCTATTCTCATTCCTTGTGCTTCTTCTTATGCTTCTTCTTCTTTTTCTTCTTCTTGGCCGCCTTGCTGTCTTTTGATGTGTGCTTTGCTCTCTTGCCTGTATCACTCTCAGAGTCTGAGCTGTCGGAGTCAGATGACTTCTTGTCTCTGTGTTTCTTTTTCTTCTTTTCCTAAAAAGAAAAATTTTAAATTCAATATTGTGCGTGTATATTTGCTTTAAAAAAAAAAATCACAGCTGGTAATGAAGGAAGCTATTTAATAAGTTAGAAGACAATAAATAAAAGCAATTATGTAAAAAAATAGCCAAAACAAGTGAAAGAACCAAGACAATACAATATCTATTATAAATTCCAGTATATATAAAACATAAATATGTGTACTATACACATGTGCATATAGTATATAGTGTACATATATCTATACAGAGTTGTATGTTTATTTTTAAGTTTTTTTTATATTTTTGTGGTACTGGGGATTGAACCCAGGATCAATCTATGGCGAGGCTATATCCCCAGTCCTTGAGACAGGCTCTCACTAAATTGCCTAGGCTGGTCTCAAACTTGTGCTCCTCCTGCCTCAGCCTCCTGAGTAGCTGGGATTGCAGGCATGTGCCACTATGTTGCACTACGTGTGCACATTTATACATCATACATATATCCAGTATACACAGAAAACACTGGAAAAGACCCCACAACTGGTAACACTGGTTATTTCAGGAATGAACTCAAGTGGGGGGAGGACGGAGTTCCTTTATTTTTTGGTTAAAAAAAAATAAAAACATCTATCACTTCCTTTTCTTTCTTTCAGTACTGGGAATTTAACCCTGGGCCTCATGCATGGTAGGCACATGCTCCACCACTGAGCTATTTCCCCAGCCTTTTTATTTTGGGTCTTGATAAAGTGCCCAGGCTGTCCTCTAACTTGCAATCCTGCAGCCTCAGCCTCCTAATGGGATAATGAATGACATGTACCACCATGCCTGGCTCTATTACTTCCATTTTTAAAAAAGTAGAGGATATTAAAACTGAAAGAGATCTCTAGAGATTACCTAGTCTATCTAGAGACAGTGATTCACCTAATATCACAAAATAAAAGATTTATTAAGAGTTGTCTCCCAGTCTGTTTTCTGTTAGACTCTGTTGCCAAGAAAAAAAAAAAAAATCCCTGCCATCAAGGAGCTTCTGCCTGCTCTCCTTGAATATCATGTTTAACTTTCACAACAACCTTGCAAGAGTATACTGATAAAGAACTGTCCCTAAACTAGACCCCCCACCCCACCCCGCTTCCCCCATACAAACCATGCTGCCAAGAGTAACCAGTACAAATCCACACCAGAGATGGAAAGCAGGCTCCTAGGCTTCTATAGGGAAGTTGAAGCAATTTAAGCATTACCTATGTCTTTTCCTTTAGTAAAGTTTTTTTTTTTTTTTTTAGTACTGGAGATTGAACCCAGGGACACTTTACCATTGAGCTACATCCCCAAATCTTTTTTTATATTTTATTATCCCCATCTGCCCCCACAACCCCCTTTTTTACCAGGGATTGAACCCAGGGGCACTTAACCACTGAGCTACATCCCCAATCTTCTTTTATTTAGAGACAGGGTCTCACTGATTTGCTTAGGGCCTCACTAAGTTGCTAAGGCTGGCTTTGAACTTTCGAATCTCCTGCCTCAGCCTTCAAAGTGAGTACTGCGATTACAGGCATGCTCTACTGCACCCAGCACCTTATTAAGGTTTCTAAAAGTGGAAGAGACCATGGGAGGAAAAAAGGGAGAATACAGAAAAGGGTGAAGCCACTGCTCCTCTTGCAGGCTTCCAACCAACGTCCTGAGAGAAGCTGGCTGTGAGATCACAGTGAACTAGGTGTTCAACCTAGACCCAAGAAGTTAGTATTCTGTAACCTTGGCCAGTCATCTCACCTCACTGAGGCCCAGCCTCTGCAAATGGAAAACAGGTAAGAACAGTACTTGTCACATGGATGTGGTGATTTAATGAGACAGTTATCTATGGCTTTGAGAAGTTGGAAACCACTTGTCCCAGATCACAAAGGCAGGAATGGGATATGCATATGGATGATGTGAATGAAAATCTCCTGAGTTATCCTATGTGTAGCACAAGGACCCTCTTCCTATAGAATTATGGGAGGCATCATGGTATGATGAATGATTTTAAAGTAAGAATTAAATTCAAATTTTAGCTCTGCCACTTACTATGTCACTTGAATTGAATCTCAGTTTTCAGTGAATTAGAAATAATAAGTATCTTGAATAAGAATTAAATAAACTCTAACTATAGTGCCTGTGCCTGATTCGTTATGCCTAGGTAACCAGCAGTGTGTTTTTCAGTGCTGAGGATCAAGCACATGGCCTTTGCACATGCTACACAAGTGCTTTACCACCAAGCTATAGAATTATTTTTCTCTTATTTCAGAGAACTACCAGAATGTTCTTATAGTCTGACCAAGTGATTATAGCAGATGAGTCAAGTTGTAAAAAGAGGTTAAACCAAAACTCTTTCTTGGTAACTCCAATGGAGTAGTGAGTACTTACAAAGCTCCCTAGACCCACTATAACAAGCATGGCTGGGAAGAGCTGAGATTTAGCCATCTGATGGTTTGGCTTATGGTGCTGCACCTTCCTGGATGGCAAGACCACACGAGTCCATCGTAGGATAGTATGGGCTTGGGAGTCTCACAAGTGTCTGCTCCTTATGTAGGGTAGGGTCCTGGGCAAGTAAGTAAGTAAATACAGTCTGGCACCAATTCCCTCTAAGCCTGGCCCAGTCTGGGTAAGGAAATAATAATACTGTCTTGTTAAAAAGCACTACCAGCTTCAAGTTTTTTGTTTTTGTTTGCTTTTTCCCTCTTATGGTTCTGGGGATTGAACCCAGAGGCACTCTACCATTGAGATACATCCTCAGCCATTTTTATTTTGAAATTGGGCCTTGCTAAGTTGCTGAAGCTGGCCTCAAACTTGCAGTCCTCCTGCTCTGGCCTTCTAAGTCACTGGGATTATAGGTGTGCACCACTGCATACAGCTTGTTTCAAAGTTTTTAGTTTCTAATCATCATCATCATCACCATCATCATCTGCCGGGGTCAAAATAAATGATTTTTTTTTGAGATGGTGTCTCAATATGTTACCCAGGCTGGACTTTATAACTGGCAATTCTCCTGCCTCAGCCTCACAAGTAGCTAGAATTTTAAGTGCATGCCACTATCTTCAGATAAAACTCATGAATTATTATTCTCATTTTACAGATGGAAAAACTGCAACTCAGAGAAGTAAAATGAGTTCACCAAGGCTAAAGCAACAAGAACATTGTCTTTTCTAACAGAGTTCAACAGTATTTCTACTTTACTCTCAAGGACACCAGTTGAGAAGGGAAGAATCACTAGAGAACCCTGGCAAGCTGGAACACAGGCTCTAGCTAGTGAAGACTGGGGAGATGGTCTTCTCCTAGACCTCAATCTCAATGCCAAAATGCTTTTGCAGCCTGAACAAGACAACCAAGGCTCCAGCAACTGGTGTCTTTTTCACTAGTCATCCCTACGCAAGAGAAGAACAAAAGAACAGTTACTTCAGAAGCTGGAGTTCAGCAGGAAAGTTGAGAGTTGAGTGGGGGAAGACCTAGAGGGCTAAAAGCTGCTTCTGGTCCTGGACTGCATTCAAGTACAAAGGGGAACAGAGAATAAAGAGTAAGCTGAGCATGGTCTTACAGGTCTGTAATTCCAGTTATTTGGATGGCTGAGGTAGAAAGATGGCAAATTTGAAGCCAAAATGGGAAATTTAGTAAGACCCTGTCTAAAAAAAAAAAAAAGATAAAGGGTGTGTGAGTCCACAGCTGACAAGTAGGAAGCACTGGAAAGAAGCCACTGCTCAAACATCTCTGAGACTCTCTCGAGGTAAAAACCACATACTGGTTACCAGAGCATTTCCTCTATAGTCTTGAAACAGGAGAGCAACAGCCCAGTGTGAGAGAAAAACAAAAATAAAAGCAAAGGGCTGGGGATGTGGCTCAAGCGGTAGCGCGCTCGCCTGGCATGTGTGGGGCGCTGGGTTCAATCCTCAACACCACATAAAAATAAAAAATAAAGATATTGTGTCCATCTAAAAACTAAATAATAAAATAAATAAAAGCAAAGACTGAGAAAGGGGAATAACAGCAGTAAGCATTTATACAGTACACAATTTTCTAGATGCTGGGTTGGGTACTTTGCACACATATCTCATTTAAACCTTCATCAACACTCGCCTGGCATGCGTGCGGCCCGGGTTCGATCCTCAGCACCACATACAAACAAAGATGTTGTGTCCGCCGAGAAATAAAAAAAAAAAATAATAAAATATTAAAATTAAAAAAAAAAAAAAAAAAAACCTTCATCAACAAATTTACCAAGTGGGCATAATTATCAGGAAAAGAAATTGTAACCTCAATAAGGATGACTGAGATGAAGCAACTGGCATAGGTGGTAGCACCTGGACATGACTCAGGCTGAGTCCCAAAGCAGATGTTTTTAGTCCTGTCTGTGTTAAAGGCAGCACCTAACAGCTGGAGGTGAAAGACTTGTATACTGAAAACTACAAAATGTTACTGAAAGACATTAAAGACACAAGGGTGAGGGGTATAATTCAGTGGTAAAGCATGTGCTTAACGTGCAAGACCCTGTATTTGATCCCCAGCACCATAATGAAATAAATAAGAAAATAATTAATTTAAAGGCCCAAATGGAAGACTTGATATGGTTAAGATGTTTATTCAGGGGATACATATGTAGCTCAGTGAAAGAGCTCTTACCAAGCATGCACAAGGCCCTGGGTTCAATCCTCAGTATGGAGGAGGGGAGAAGGGATGTCCATATGTTCCTCCTACCCAAAGTGATCTACAGATCACTAGCTGTTTGACACTTCACACACTGCAACCCCTATCAAAATCTCAATGATTTCTGTGTGTATGTGAGTGTGAAATAGAAAAAATTCATACAGATCACAAAGGACCCTGTATAGTCAAAATGATCTTGAAAATGAGGAACAAAGTTGGAAGATTCACATTTCCTTACTATATAAAGCTAAAGTAATTAAAACATTGGGTACTGGCATAAGAATAGGCACAGAGACTCACAGAATAGAAATAAGACCCCCCCCCCCCAAAAAAAAAAAAAAAAGAAATAAGACACCAGAAAAATCCTCATATATATGGTCAAATGACTTTTGATGAGGGAGCCAAGATCATTCAATGGGAAAAGGGTAGTCTTTTTAATAGATGGTCTTAAGAAAACTGGATATCTACATGCAAAAAAACTTTTGGACCAGTTGGGCACAGTGGCATGTGCAACTAGCAACTCAGGAGGCTGAGGCAGGAGGATTGTATGTTCCAGGTTAGACTCACAATTTAGCAAGACCCTTAGCAACTCAGCAAAACCCTGTCTCAAAATAATTTAAAGGAATGGGTATGTGGATCAGTGGTAAAGCATCCCTAGAATGAATCCTCAATACCAAAAGAAAAAAATCATTTTTTTGTACTCTTCTTTTAAATCAATATGAAAATTAACTCAGAATAAATCAAAATCCTAAATATATTACTCTTTGAAGAAAAATAGGGGAAATGTTTCATGACATGACCTGGCAATGGTTTTTTGAGTATGACACCAAAAACAAAGGCAATGAAAGAAAAAAAAAAGGTCTCTTGCACTTCATCAAATTATAATTATTTGTGTAAGGAATGCTATCGTGAATATATTTTACAGTACTAAATTATGTATTTAAAAATAGTTAAGATGGGGGCTGGGAGTATAGCTCAGTGGTAAGTATTCACCCAGCATGTGTGTGGCCCTGGTTTTGATTCCTAGGACTACCAAAAAAAAGTTAAGATGGTAAATTTTTGCATAGTCTGAATGCAAAATATGTAAGGAGATAAAATATAAAGTAGTAGTGGAAGTAGGAGGGAGAAACAGAATTTTGAGAGGCAATTTAAAATGTGCCCCTGGCAGGACTTGGTGACTGACTAGATGTAGGATAAAAATGAGAAGAGGAGGTTTCTTTCTTGGGAAACTGGGAAGGTATTGCTGCCATTAAAACAAGTAATATCATATTGAAGGATAGAAAAGGTTTTGGTGGGGGCAGTGGGGAGGAGGTAAAGAAGAGATTAAGGTAGTCATGATAGCATTAATTAGAAAATACTTGTTAGTGCTGAGTGAGGTGGGACACACCTGTAATCCCAATGGGTCAGAAGGCTAAGGCAGGAGGATCTGAGTTCAAAGCCAGCCTCAGCAAAAACGAGACACTAAGCAAATCAGTGAAACCCTGTCTCTAAATAAAATATAAAATAGGGCTGGGAATGTGATTCAGTGGTCGAGTGCCCTGAGTTCAATCCCAGGTACCCAAAACCAAAAACCAAAAACCAACCAAACAAACAAACAAAAAAACAATAAGAAATGAAGATAGTATACCAGGGCATGGTGGCACCTGACTATAATCCCAGCGGCTTGGGAGGCTGAGGCAGGAGGATCACAAGTTCAAAGCCAGCCTGAGCAATAGTGGGTGCTAAGCAATTCAGTGAGACCCTGTCTCTAAATAAAATACAAAATAGGGCTGGGGATGTGGCTCAGTGTTCGAGTGCCCCTGAGTTCAATCCCTAGTACCCCCCACCCCCTCAAAAATAAAGATAATACTTAATTTGTAGATAATGCCCACCGAGTGCAAGGATTTCACCATAGTCGTTGTATTACTAGAGTCTGCAATGCCTGGCACAAAATTATCATTCAATAAAAGTGCCAGGGGCTGGGATGTGGCTCAAACGGTAGCGCGCTCGCCTGGCATGCGTGCGGCCCGGGTTCGATCCTCAGCACCACATACAAACAAAGATGTTGTGTCCGCCAAATACTAAAAAATAAATATTGAAAAATTCTCTATCTCTCTCACTCTCTCTTAAAAAAAATAAATAAAATTTAAAAAAAAAAAAAAAAAAAAATAAAAGTGCCAAAGATCTAGAAACTAAATAATTGGTCACAGAAAAATCCTACATGAGCACTGTGGGCCACCATGTGGTGGGACATGCCTATAACTGCAGTGACCCAAGAGGCTGAGGCAGGATGATCCAAAGTTCTGGGCCAGCCTCAGCAACTTAGTGAGGCCCTGTCTCAAAATAAAACATAAAAAGATTGGGGATGGCTGGGTGCAGTGGTGCAAGCCTGTAATTCCAGTGGCTCAGGAGGTTGAGGCCTTAAGCAACTTAGCAAGACCCTGTCTCAAAATAAAAAATAAAAAGGGCTAGGGATGTGGCTCAGTAGTTAAATGCCCCTAGGTTCAATCTCTGGTATCACAGGGGGAAAAAAAGGATTGGGGATGTAGCTTAATTGTAAAGTGCCCCTGGGTTCAATTCCCAGTACTGAAAGGAAAATCATAGTATACCATTTTCTGATCAAACTATAGCAGAGTTTGTTTCCTTTCTGTGAAGTATGCTATTGATACATGGTTTCTTTCTGAACTACAATACAGTCTGTTTTATAAATTGGTCTCTGCTCTAAGTAGTAGACAAAGAGACAGAACTTGGTGAAGACAGATAATGTTTTACACTACTGGGGACATATAGGTACTTTCTAGAAGGCAATTTTTTAAATGTATAAAGTCTTAACTCAGTAATCTTACTTCAGAATCTATGCTTAGAAAATAGTATGAAATGTAGACAAAAATTTAGATTGTAAGTAATAAAAAATATTCAGCAAATTAATAATCATATAGCCATGAGGTAGAATACTGTGTTGCTCTTACATCAAGTTTTTGAAGAACAATTAAAACTAGAAAGTAAGGGCTGGGGTTGTGGCTCAGTGGCAGAGCACTTGCCTATCATGTGCAAGGCGCTGGGTTTGATCCTCAGCACCACATAAAAATAAATAAAATAATGGCATGTGTCCAACAACAACTAAAAATAAATACATACATACATAAAAACTTGAGAATAAGATGAAAAAATTGGAGTATAAACTATACCTAGTTTGACCATAATTCTGTTTCCATGTATAAACGCACCTATGTACATACATATATGCATGTATATACTTATTATGACCTAAAAAAGATTAGAAAATACTAAAAATACTAAAAAATGTCTTTCTGAGTAGAAAGATTACTGGAGATCCTCGATTTTCTTTGTTTTTCAGTATTTCTAAAATTTCTGCAAAAAGTACAATTTCATTTTAAAACTTGAAAAAGTATGATAAATACAAGCAAGAAAGCACTCACCTTCTTTCTTTTCCGGGAAGAATTCCTCATGGAATCAGGTTTCTCAAATTCTGCTGACTTTGTCTCTTCTTTCTCCTCTTCCTCATCAGGTATCAGAGAATATTTGGTCCCACCTGGTTGCATGAAGCAATCTTTTGCAAAGTGACCTGAAGAAGAAAAGTAGAAAAGGTAGAGAGGGAGAAAGAGTCTCTCCTCTAAGCAGGTGGATCTTCCCCAGAGGGTCTTGATAGGAACTCAGTGGTTCAGGAGATATTATTGAGTCAGTTCAGAGAAAATTTTCTGTCACCTCAAGATGGCTTTGTTCAATCAACCACAGCCAAATAAGCAGTCGACCTTAAGAGCCACAGGAAACACTGGTGCTGCTTTGGAAATGGCAGAGTATATGAGGATGCAGGCTTGGGCTGCCCTCCATTGGGCTTATTCATTTTTAAAGATCAGTTTGGGAAGTTATTCCTGACAATAAAAGGCTGCTCC